TTTTGATAGGTTAGCAAGTATACACAGTAAATAACATTAAATCCAAAATTATTTGGTTATAACATACCCATTATTGATTTTAGACATTAATAAATAAACAGCAAGTTACATGTTTTAAAATGGTTATGATAAAAAAAAAACACAATACATAATATCACTGTATTTACTATTGTTCATTATTATTTTCGTTTCTTCAAAGTAGCACAAACAATCAGGTGTGGTGTGGATACTTTGTTTACATAATGTATTGATTGATTGGTTAGTATACATCCTAAACACCATTTATGTTAAACAGACAGGCACAGTATGTGTACTTTGTTTTAAAATATGTTAACAGATTATTACCCACACCCCCAACACCATTAAAGCCAATGACTAGGTAATAACATGTTTATCTATGTTAATACACACTGATAAATAGTGGGGAAATAAGATGTTCAAACTGGACATATGACAGAGACAATAACATGTCTTTATGATTTTGTTATGAATCACAAGCACATTTTCAACAATAACAGATATGAGATTAAACTGTTGTTTTCAATATCTATAAATTGCATATTCATATTTCTGTTGTCTTTCCATATTCTGTTGTACCTACCGAGAGGTCTGCAAGCTTTCAGCCTGCAAGGCATACTGATTTATTTTAAACTGTCCACCTGAAAAAAGTTAATGAAAAATCAGTAAAAATAAAAAAGCTAAAAGATATAAATTCTGAAAGAATGTACATAACCTACAATTGATTTTATAGGATGAAGGGTAGGAGAGAGAGATTAGCTGAAGGTGAATCCCCCAGCGAAAGAGTGATTTTTTTATAGGATAGGGTGACAAACGAGCACACAGTCCACCTGATGGTAAGTGGTTGCTGTTGACCATAGACATTTACATCTATCATCGTTTGCGAATCAAAATGTAGATGTGTTGTCACCTGTGAGGACAAAGATGAAATGCCTCTTTTCCAGTAAAAAGGGTCTCCAGTTCTCTACACTCACCATACAAAACACAGCAGTGTTAAGCTGCTATTTTACGCTGGTATTTTGTGAGAGAAGGACCACCTTCCCCAGTTGAGCCGACCCATTCGTGCTACAACTATACTACTAATATAGCTGCAGCATGGCTAATCCACGTGTGATGCAGAAGCCTAGTTTTTAAATAAAAATATCAATCAATGAAAATACGAAATATTTTTATTACAAAGATATAGAAATCCAAAAGAGGAATATGAATTATAATATAATATTATATATTTAATATAATATTTATAATTGAATTTTATATTATAAGAGTGGACTGAAAAACTAATTATTACACTTTATTTACTTTTTTCTTTATTATATATTTTATTCTTATTATAAATAATAACATGCCGAACTAGGAAAAAAATACAAATATTCTTTTTTGACATTGTTTTCCGATTGATATTTGATTGATTCCAGATAATTTCATACACAACTAGGTACTTTTGTAAACATTTTGTGATTCTATTATTTATTTAATTTAGCTTAACTTTAATAGGTAGGTAATTTTATAAACACACTAATAAGGTTATGAGACCTGTGTTTGTCATTTGTTGTAAGTAATTAAACATTTTGGAGGAAATACAAAATCTTGTATTATTTTTCTCTCATGATTTTTATTTTGATTCATTGACATACTTACCTAATTTTTAGCAGATAAACTTTAATTGAACTTACTACAATTTCAAATACAAACTTTTTCAAACTTTACCACAAATATAGTTTATATAATATTCACTTTTATTTCAATCTCATTCTGTCCTACTTTATCAATTGTTAAACAAAGAAGTTTACACTTTTTAATTTTGCTGGTTTGCTACCATATTGTATTCTTTGTTTGCTATCAAAAAGTAATAAAGTATACAACCACAGTCTATTCCTACAGTCAATGCTATGTCTACAATTTTAAAATATTATAAAGATTTCACTACATACATATTTATTTCTTTTAATTATTCATTGTTTTATAACCATATATTACATTTATTCAGATTTATTATAACTGTAGGTATGAATTTGTTAGTAATATTAAACGTAGTGATTATATTCTCTTTGGTAGTGATTATATTCTCTTTGAGTAATATGCATTATAGTCAAAGAGAATAATATGTTTTTTTTTATAGGAGTTTATGGCCTGGTATCTAGACCTTTAGGCCAAGTCTTGAGTATTTTTATTCGGTTTATTATAAATAATTATCCTTCATAGTTCACTGCTTCACAATATGTTGATGCGTCACATTGTGCAGCCCTTGAGAGATTTTGACGGCAACTTGAGCCAGCAGACAGCTGTTAGTTGGCGATGGTATCTCAAGGCGCCTATGCAAACAAACAGCTTATCTTGAGAATCCATCACCATCAGAGCACTTGTTTCATTGTTTCCACTAATAGTTCACATGCGTAGACAATTAATACACAAAATCGCACCACTTTTACATATCAAAGTCCACTTCAAACCATTATTTAAACAATAATACAGGAGCAGCAAACCGCCGCTGATCAAGTTCCCGCCAAAACTCTAAATAATATGTACTATCATAATTCAATTGTAATATTATGAAGGTACTATATTTATTAGTATTTTTACAAACAGATTTTAAAACATGTATAGATCTCATAATAAGTAAAGGTAAAAAAATAAAATGTAATACATCAAAAACGAACATGTTTAATTTTCGTTTCCACAATGTATTTTTTTTAGACTGGACCTTCGAATGTGACAAATAAGAGATTATATTCCTCGTAAAAATTTAGAACTTTTAAATCGACTGTAGGTTTTGCACAGTTCTGCTTTAAGCTTTGCGCATTCCGTAAGATAAAATACTAACCTCGTGAGAAATCCACACACAAAAACAGTTGGTGCTCATCTATAGCTGTCTCGGATAGTAATTGTTTTCGAACATTGCGAATTTTCGCAGATTCAATTTTAAAATTGCAAATAAATACAAAAAAGCAGCAACGTGACAAACGTCAAATCCACAATCCAAATCCACAAACACTGCACAAACACAAACTATCGTCAATGTCGTATAGTAGTAAATAAATAATAATACAAAATTAATATATTTCATCTATAATACAAAGAAAGGATCCCGGACCCGAAAGGCAATTACCATAGATAAGGTTATTCCATATACGTCGATACATCGAATTCATTTCACTCGCTGTTTACAATAAGATGTATCGATGTATTTTCATAAAACATCGAATCAGTGATACTTACATACCAATATTAATATTATAACTTCTAAATCAGTAAAACTAAAACATGCTCTAGTTTAGAAGTTATAATATTAAACCTATTAGAGGCGCTAGTTGGCAGCTGTCAGTCCCTTAAGCGGAATCAAGAATTTTTTTTCAAGAGGTCGGCTGGTTGGCATAACTCTGCTAAAGAAAATAAAAAAAATCGTCTGGGCTATCTCGGTCTTAGACCAATTAACCCAAGGGAATCGCCTCGCATGATTATTTCCCTCTGCCAAGGCATCGGATTTAAAAATCTTGTGCGTTTATAAAACCTGTTTACGCAATCATTTATATCATTACATTACGTTGTTTGTTTGAGTGGGATGTCAGGAGGTTGACTACAGATTTGTAGTCTGAAAAATTACACGATTAGGAAAAACATCGATGTTTCTAACCGATACATCGGAATATGTCGATACACAGTCTCGATGCATTACATCGAAGAAAATCAGCGATGTATTTTCAAAGTGGAAGCCCCTAACCATAGAGAAATAAATATGTAGGCAATGACAAACTGACAAAATAGGGGTTTTAAGTTTCGTTCCAAGGTCACTTTGAACTATATTTCTAAATTAGCTAATATAAATACATTTAGAAAGATATACCACTGAAAACTTGTACTACTTAATCCTATTAAAACAAGTTTTCAGTGGTATCTCTTTACTAATAAATATATTATATACAAATATAATAAATTGGTATCTTTTATATGTGTAAAACCATTAAGTTAAGTTAAAATTTCTAGTGGGCCCAAAACGATTTTCTTCATAGCTTACAGTTATTTTTGGCTTACTTTAAAGTTTTGATGACCAAGCAAGTTGTTCTAACAATAAAATATTTGAAAACCATTGGAAAGAATATTAGTTTTTAAAAAAATATTAACCTGTATATAGTATACTGATTATTTATTATTATTGATAATTCAACTTACCTTTTGAAACAAACTGTCTTTTCTATTTTTATATTCCAATTTCTCGTCGTATTAATAATTTCATTTAAGTATTATAGTAATATTAATGAATAAATACGAAGAGGATAATTAACCGTATCTAATACTCTAATAGTGTTTATTCAAGAATAATAATGGGTGGGCTTGCTCACAGTGTGACCATCTTTAAAATACAGATCCTGCCTTAGTTTGGTTAAAATCCTGCAAACGTTTATAGTGAAAAATACCTAAATACTGCCATCTTTATTTAACATTGTATAATTGTATTAAACTAAGAAAAGTAAAAATACACATTTAAATGCTATATTTTTATTAATTTTATATATTTATATATTTTTCGTTGGTTTGAATGCAACGCAATCGCCATGCTAATCAATGCCTTGTTTAATACGCAAAATAGAGGCTACATCAGGGATGGCGAACCAATGGCACGCGTGCCATTGCTGGCACGCGACGAAATAATTTCGGCACGTCACTGATTACGAGTTTAAAGAAAAAAGTATAAATTATGATTATGATGTAGCATAATACCTATGAATCTTTGAAAAGCAAACGCGCGCGAGCGTTCGGGTCCGGTGCGCGGGGTGGAGGCGGGGCGTAGTTGCTATGCTAGCGCGGGGAATGCGGCGGTGGCGCGGGGCGCGGGAATGCAGCGCGGGGGCTTGACTTGAGTAAATAATAACAAACGAGGCGCAGTGCCCGCGCAAATTGTTTGTTTATGCAAAAAATAGTTAAATTTCATTGTGAAAGTGAACTTTAAAGTTTATTTAAGTTATTATTTGCTGTAATTTAATATGGCTAGTTCAGCAAACAAACTAAAAGTGCAAAATAGCAAGGATACTAGAGAATTTCAGACTTGGTGGACTGATAAATTCGGCGTGATTAATAAAGGTGACAAAGCAGTGTGTGTTTTATGTTCTGGCACCATGGTATGTAGAACATCTTCCGTCAAACGGCATTTTGAAACAAATCACAAATCAATTTGTCAAAAAAGCGAAGCAGAGCAAAAGGAATTAATTGCGAGTGCTTTGAAAGACAGAAACAAACAGTCAACATCAATAAATAAATTTGTTGGCAAAAATTGTCATACAAGTGCGGCAAGTTACACGACTGCAAATGTCATTGCTCGGCATAGTAAACCCTTTCAAGAAGGCGAGTTTTTAAAGGAAGCCTGGTTAGCATGCGCGCCTTCTCTTTTTGCTGATTTCGAGAATAAAAATAAGATAATTCAGCGCATCAAAGATACTCCTTTGTCCAGAAACACAATAAAGGAAAGAATCTTAAAATTGGCTGAAAATGTTACAGAGCAACAAAAGCTTGACATTCACTCTGCTTCATTTATATCGCTATGCCTCGACGAAAGCACTGACGTCACAAAATCTGCACGTTTAGCTGTTTTTGCTCGATACTGCGTAGGAAACGTCATTAAGGAGGAATTAATTGCGATAAAATCGTTACCAACAACTACAAAGGGCGCAGATATTTGTACGGCAGTTAAAAATTCGATAGTTGAAAAAGAAATTGATATAAAAAAAGTTGTTTCTGTAACAACTGATGGTGCTCCGAGTATGGTGGGTAAAAAAATTGGTTTCATAAGTTTATTTCAAACTGAAGTAGGACATTCGATTCTTGAATTCCACTGCATCATTCACCAACAAGCCTTATGCGCTAAGAGCGGTTTAACATCTCTTGATAATGTTATGGCAGTAGTTACGAAAATAGTCAACCTCATCTCTGCTCAGGCTTTAAACAAGCGAAAGTTTGACGCTTTGTTGGATGAAGTCAACTCCGTGTATAATGGCTTACTCATGTATAATAATGTTCGGTGGCTGAGTCGTGGGTCTGTACTTGAAAGATTTGTTGAATGCTTGGAAGAAATCAGACTGTTTCTGCAAAATGAGGGAAAAATTGAACAATACCCACAGCTTTTGGACGTCATGTGGCTTTCAAAATTGATGTTTTTTACAGACATATGCCAACACTTAAATACGTTAAATGTGAAGCTTCAAGGCACAAACAAAACAATAATCGTCATGATCGATCTCATTCGCGCCTTTGAGGCTAAACTGCAAGTTTTCAGAAACGATATTATCGCAAAAAACTACAAGTATTTTCCATACTTGACAAAATATATCAATGAATCTGATATACATGAGACAACAAATGCAGAAAATATTACTGAGGAATTTATCTCTGTGATTGATTCTTCAATTAAGGAATTTTCAACAAGATTTTCTCAGTTCAAAGAATTATCAGAAACGGTCAAGTTTATTATGTACCCAGATGTAACGACCTTTCAAACACTGAACTTCTCCCAGTTCGATTGGTTGGAAATTGAAGATTTTGAAATGCAGCTGATTGATTTCCAATCTAGTTCAATTTGGATACAAAAATTCATAGACATGAGAAAAGAATTAGAGTTAATTGAAACAGAAAGATTGACCAGTAATATAAGTAAAGATGCCAATAATAAAATTTTAGAAACCTGGAATGCGTTGCCAGAAACATTTAATTGTTTAAAGAAGCTGGCTCACGCTATTCTAACTGTATTTTCATCAACATATGCCTGCGAGTCATTGTTTTCAGAGATGAATAACATCAAAGACTCTGTTAGAAATAGACTGACTGATGAATCAAGTTCAGCATGCATTCTGCTAAAAGTAACATCGTACAACCCCAATATAAGTCAATTATCGTCCAATCTGCAACAACAGAAGTCGCACTAATTTTTAATTGCTCTTGTAATTGTATTTTTGGTAAATATAGAGCTTTGAGTTGATATTGTTTTTTTACATTATTTTTCCACTGATCACAGTCAAGAATATTTGATGGCACGGCTGCGACGTCATTAAATATTATTCCAGAAAATTGGCACGTATACGCATAAAGGTTCGCCATCCCTGGGCTACATGTTTGTTTATATCTAAATCTGTTTCGTGTTTTTGCACTAATTAAATTTATTTGAAGGAATATTTTTTTAGGGAAGAGGGGGCAAACGAGCATGCAGCTCACCTGATGGTAAGTGACTACCGCCGCCCATGAACAACCGCTTTACCAGGGGAATCACAGGTGCGTTGCCGGCCTTTTAGAAAGGTGTAAGCTCTTTTCTTGAAGGTCCCTAAATCGTATCGGTCCGGAAAAATCGTATACATTACATGCGTAATTCTTATTGAAAGTCATTTTTTACTTTACCACTGGTTCGAAAAAAACCTCTGTCCTGGGAAGAACCAGCAAGAAACCCAGGGGGGCTTTTTTTAATAAATTTTACAATACAAAATGATTACAAAATATTTACAAAATTTATTTTAGAAACTGCTTGGAAGCGACCATCTCATTCCCAGGGTTTATTATCAACCATGTATTCATTTATACTATAATAACCCTTTTTTAAAATCGATGTTTCACTTTCGAAAATATCGAGGTTCTAATATCGCTTTTTTATGAGCGATGTTGCATCCCTACCGCCATACCAATATTTTCAAGATACGGTGTCTATCTGCTTAGACGCCTTGAGATAATATTGCCAACTATCTGCTGGCTTAACTTGCCGTCGAAATTGCTAAAGGGCTGCGCAATGTGACGCTCAACATATTGTAAAGCAGTGTAGTATTATAAAGTATTATAATTATTTAATGCTGAGATAAATGAAAACATGGCTTAAGTGTCAAGCATCCAAGCCAAAAATCTTGAAAATAAAGAAATGAAACATGGCTTAAAAGACAAGCATTCAAGTCAACAATCTTTAAAAAAAATAAAAAATTCCACCAAAATTAATAAAATCTTTTGTAGAATCGGAAAATTGTGCAAGCAAAAATTTTAGATCTTGAAAAGTATGAAATAATTGATAGATAGAAATAATTTTTAGTGTTATAAGGAAACAATTGATAAACAAAATGATATATGACTGTATAAAGTGTTGACGTTTCGTTAATAATTAAATATATGAAGTTAAAAATTTGGTGAGGTTATGTTGACATATGATTCGAGAATATATACACAGTAGCCTCACAGTTCTTACAGTATGTTGAACGTGTACTTGGCGTGAGACACTACAGTGTCTCCGGATAGTAGGTACATAATTAAAATTATAAATATAAAAATATTATATAGGTATATATAATATTATATATACCTATATATATATATATATATATATATATATGACGGCACCTGCACCGTTGAGGTGCGGTGGCGTCGGTCTAGCTAAACAGAACTCTTGTAAACGACACGTGTACCGCACACCTGTGGCATTGCACCTGCGTTGCTGCCCGTCCTGCTTGTATAAAACGGACGGAGCGGCCGCCGTTAGGACAGTCTTGGCTCTGACGTGGAACGGTGCGTGTCGGAAGTATAGTGGGTATAGTAAAGAGACTAATTATGTAGTTAGGAATAATAATTAATTCGTTTACACGAATTAATTATCCAATGAGTCGAGGATAAACTAGTAACGGAATACGACAAGTATACCGTTCCACGTCAGAGCCAAGACTGTCCTAACGGTGGCCGCTCCGTCCGTTTTATACAAGCAGGACGGGTGGCAACGTAGGTGCAATGCCGCAGGTGTGCGGTACACGTGTCGTTTACAAGAATTCTGTCTAGCTAGACCGACGCCACCGCATCTACAACGGTGCAGGTGCCGTCACGGCCATACTGACATGCGTGCGTCCTCGCACGCGCTCCATCACAATTTTAGTTATCTGCAACAACTGTAATCTGTAAAACATCGTTCGATTATCCTGACAAAACAGCATCTAGTCCGGTCTATACTGACCCTTCAGACTCGGGTGATAATCAGTTCTGTTCCGGCAGTAAGCCCTACAAAACTTTTATCACCTTTATGCTAGATCGGAATGATTAGTCTGTAGCTTTTTCTATTTTCTCTTTTTTTTTTTCAAGTACTGTTTTCGCTAGTCCGGAATCACTATTCCCTATAGCTATATCACTGGACCGGCACAAAGCCCTGCAATGATTGTAAGACCTATTCTTTTTTCTTAACCTCTTTTTTTTCAGTACTATTTATGCTAGTCCGGAATCACTATTCCCTGTAGCTATATCATTGGACCGGCAAACGCCCTGCAATGATAGTAAGAACCACATTTTTTTTCTTACTCTCTTTTTTTTTCAATTCAGTATAGAACAGTTACAGACCAACCATACCGCAAACATGTCCCCGTCACAATCACACAAAAGTGTATCGTGAGGGACGTAGTGATACGATAACACCTAAGTATGTAAACCAACAGCAACTCTACACATATCCCAGTGCAGCACAGACCAGCCTCCCTGCAACTTCATGTTCCTTTCCTGTACTAGAATAATTACTTCGTTAGAGTGTTGCAATGTCTCTAGTATTTTCTAGATGCACAGACACGGCTACCTCTGACTGTCGCACGTCCTCGTGCGGTTGACAGTGAACAGCATACGGTCTATCAGTTATCACCAATTGCTAACAGATATAAACTCTTGTTAAATATTACAACCGTCGACCATCCCAGACTTCATTTAAGTCTGGAACGCGCGGATATGGCTACCTCCAGGCAAACGCACTACAGCTTTTCGTTCTGCTGCGATCGTGCCACATTCGCGGCAGCAAGCCGTCGCGCCGTACTAGCGCTAGCGAATCGTCGCACTGCTTTGCAAAATTAAAAGAAATCGAGATAAATGTATTGCGAACCATGAAATTCCGAGCTTCCGAAATTCATCACATATTCTCTTAAGAAACGGCAACTGCACGACATTTGAAAACATTGCAAAAAAATGGAAACCATGTGTAGAGACAGTTACCACAACATATTTCGAAGTGAAGGAGGAAACTGCGCAAAATCTACGAAAGCCGTCCATTTACAGCGCCAAAGCACCATTTGTTCAGCGGCCGCTTGAATTGCCCTGCCGTAAGATCAGCCGATAAGTAACCGACTGTAGCGGTGTAGGCTCAATCTAACCAGCGCTCGGCCGTACCTGACCATGTTCGATTAGCCATCACAACGTCTTCCTCATTGATCATTGTTGTAGAGACTTCTACGAATCCTTCGAAATCAAACCCCAATCTTGTCAACGACACAATATTCGGAGCAAACTGCAACACTGATCAACACATTAGAACACAAAAATGTCACTTATTATTTTTAATTCATAGCGTGTTAAAGTTAATACTTTATTGTAGTACCACCCTTAAAAGTTTTGAACTTCAAAATATAGCAAATGATAATCACGTATCGCGTGAACTATCAAATTACAACAAAACGAGAGCAGCAGGAGCACCTGAGGGTTTACAAGCATCGTCGGGGTTGTAGTCATCATGATCTGCGTGAAAAACAAATTGTTAACTATAAGGACAACATACACAGTTGCCTGTTCTCTCATCTATCACACATACGAGGCCCTTAAACAGAAATACGTTCTCATACCTTGGACTATAATAAAGCACTTCGCTTTCACAAGTAAACATAGATCTTCATACGAAGTATCTGACACATACTCTTACTTGAACTTGCGAGATCCCACGTTAACTACGTTAACCACATTAAAAACGTGAACCAGGACAGCGCCTGCCAGGACAGAGCCTAATACATGTTCAGAAAACATTACCGTGCACACAGCATACGACTTCCGCGTACACAGTGTGACTCCCACGCATACAGAGTACACGACTTCCGAGGCATCGCCATGTACAGCATACGCGCGCTCCGGGATGGCGCCTGCGTATACGTGCATACGCATCTGCCGAAACCAGGCCATGTTACAGCTGGACCTGGCAGTCCGTTACGACCAGCAAGGCACACACTCACGCACTTGTAATCACATCACACGTGCTACTGTAACACATAAAAGAAAATATTAAAAATACTCAGTCGGAACTTGATTTCAAGAAATGCAGCACTACTCTTGGTACACCATTCGCCTTTCTAGGGCACCAAATACTGAGCTGCGGCTACACGACAACCTCTGGTATGGTTCGATCCTCATGTAAACTTAAATACTCTCTTCAATGTCTGAACTAATTGGCTCTACTTCACTTTCATCAGTTATACTTCGGTTTTCCGGCATTTTTCGCAACCAATTGAAAATGTAAACACTCATTCTTACAAAATAGTTTCTGAGCCAATGTTTAGGATAAATTTACTTTCCTCATGTATCTAATGGTGATCAGTGGCAATGACAAATAATAAGTCCGCGGCGTCATAAGCCGACAGCATACTCAAAAGCGAGCGCTACAGCTCCACGCTTTCCACTAAACCATTCCAAGTTTGTCGACTACGTAATACTCGGAGTAAACTGTAACACTTATCATCACATTAGATCACAAAAATACTACTTAGTGTTTTTAAGTCATAGCACGTTAAAGTAATCATGTTATTTTTTTTCGGTACATCGTTTAAACATTTTGAACTTTAAAACTAGGCCATGTAAATCACACCTCGTATCAAATTATAACATTACTTGAGCAAGTTAAACTTCCACTGAATGGAAACTATAACTCATTCAGGATATATCCAACATTTCTTTCGACATTTGTTATCATATTTGGGTACGTTAAGAAATAATGAAATTACTTGCGGGTACATTCTATTATAAATTGAATAAAAAGATTTAACTTTTGAATTAAAACATTTCACTTTAAACTTTTACTCTACACTTTAATGATTCGTCAATGTCTTAAATACGACAACAAACTTGATTTAAGAAATTGAACACAAAAACAAAACACGAGGCGCATTATAGTATT